TTACCTTCACCTGCATAATGTATGCTCCAGTACAGGGCTGCTTCTGCAATGACAGCTGATGAATTTCTCGCTCAGTCACTGACCGAACAGTGATGTTATTTTAGACTTGCTTTTCACATGCAATGAGGGCACTGCAGAATAGCAGCGCCTGGAAAATAACTTTGTTCTGAGAGTGTGATGATTCCTTTAAAACTCAATGGAAGAGTACAAAATGGATTTGCAATGACAATTTTCATTTCCAAGTGGCAAGGACTGAGAAGTTAAGGAAATTACTGAAATCAGCCAGAACAGCTAAAGGGCTTGAACATGGTGGAGGCTTGGAATTTATTAAATGACAGGTGATGATTTTAAATGAGAGAGAGGTGGTGGATTTAATATATCCAAGACAGTAGGGACAGTCCCAACCACAGGGACATTTAAAAATAATATATCATTTTTTTTTTTTTTTAAATCAGTCATGAGAATGCAGATTGTTTCCAGTTGGCATGTTTCCAGAAGCCACCTGAGACTTTTCACTCGTGGGCCCACCTGGTAAATTCCTCCTCCCTCACTAGCTTTCAGCAGGGTGATTTATAATGGGGCTGCTTTCGGCTTTGGCACGTTCTCCTTGGCTGGCGCGAGGGAAGTCCTCTTGGGCTGGCTCTGCCAGGCTGTGCCTGTGCAGGGCTGTGCCACGAGGCACCTGGCAGCAGGGCTCTGCCGCCTGAGCCGCATTGCAGAGCAGCCACTGCAGGCAGAGCCACGTCTGCTGTGCTTGCCACGTTTTGATTTATTCTCCCCTACATGGCTTCTTACAAGTTTTCTGCGGGACTTTAAGAGCGCGCTGCAGTCTTGGTGTTCCTGGGGGGTTTTGACTGCGTGACCCATTTAGCATTCTGGCCGGGAACCTCTTCCTGTAAAAGCTACCACAAGTCTCAGGGGCCTTTTGAAGTTTTCTGGTGAAAAAGAGAAAGCTTTCTCGCAGCTATCCAGCTGAGACCTTTTCTTTGTTTGCCTGTTCTCGATGTATCCTGAAGAAACTGCATTTTTGGATCTATCTGCCAAAAGCGGTGACAGCTAATCCCATTTTCCCTGTAATGAAAGGCTTCGAAGCTGCGTGCCTGCTACATAGGGGGTTATGTGGTCTGCTCTCCTCTGTCTGCCTCTGCACTGTTCTTTCCTTAAATTGCTCTGGTTTTTAAAATTTTCCCTCATAGCCAAAGAGCATGTCACTGCAGTTGAATTTTTAGTGGCTGAGGAAGGCAGAGCTCCTGGGCTGCAGAAGACAACTGCCCTGGGGTTCCTTAAGAAACCTTTCCTGCCTCGCCTCAGTTTCAGCCACAACTCTGCTCCTGCTTGACTTCAGTTCCCTGAAAAAATCCACGACTAAGAGAAGCATTTGGATTTCTGCTCCTGGCTCCTGCAGGAACTTTTTCATGTCTTTATTAAGACAAGTCACTTCTTGGGGGGCTTCTGTGCCTCTTCTCTCTAATGACTTCCTCGACTTCCTTCAAAAAGCCCTGTACGCAGGGGAATACAAGCTTGGCCTGGAGTGAGGCTGCACTGAGGAGCAGTGGAGCGATGAAGAACAGTGGAGCGGTTAATAAATTAAAAGCTATTTCATTATAGAGAATGAATGTTTAATGAGTGTGGGACGACGTCTAGACAGTCCTTCAGCTCCCAGCAGTATGCTGTCTTAGAGGAGAGAGTTCAGCCGACATAGCCAGCACAGTCCCGGCCCCTCTCTGCACCTGTCCCAGTTTGCTGCACAGGGGGAAAGGTTCGGCAGAGCTTTCCTGAGGAGCAATGTCCCTGCTCGGGCTCAAGCAGGGGCTGCACAAGACTGGTGTTCTGGCTGCAGTGCGGAGGTGGCATGGCAAAGATCTCCCATGCCCACATCTTCATCTGCCAGCATTTCTGCAGCTGGACCTTGAGCCTCTCCTGGCGAAGCCCTGGGAAGCTGCAGCCACAGTAGCATGAAGGTGCTGGTGAGGGCTCCTGCTGCTTCTGCAGCCACAGTCTCCTGCCCTGCAGCACCCCACCTAGGAGCCCTGCAAGGCCCAGAGATGCCAGCAACTCCCAGGAAACTACATCCCAGCCTTTACCAGGTCATTGGCTCTGGAGTTGTGAAGAAGAAACCCTGGCTGAACGGGAGACACCCCGATAACTAAGGGGGGGGGGGGGTGAGTGGCTGGGAGTCTTTGCATCCTGGCCTAGTGAAGACCTTGTGTTTTATAGCACACAGAAGAGAGGTTTCAAATATAGAAATGATCCTATTTGGATGAAGGTCCCCTAAAACTTTCCCCTGCCATGCTGGAAGTGCTAATTAGCACCTGCAGAAATCTGATGTTGAAAATGTCAGACGCCCTGTCTCCCTGATGGGGGAATGTCTCCCTGATAGGCATGAACACATCAGCTCCTCTGCAAAAACTGTCCAGTTTTTATTTCAAGTGAAGAGGTCGCTGGCTGAGCTTGCTTGGCCTGTCTTGGTATGAGCCAGCAAAGACAAGAAGTTCAAGGCCTCTCAGCAGTGGCACAGAGATCCTGGAGGGCTGGTTATTTCACCCTGGAGGAGGCAGCAGCGTATGAGCCTGCACTGCCATGCACCGCATGGGAAATGCTGGTAGGATCCCCCCCACGCTCCCATCCTGGCTCTGAGCCCCTCTGGCAGCGCCCACAGCATCCCCTGCCTGGGTGCTCAGCCCTAGGAAGTGCTTTGCTGTACGTGAAGCTGGCGGGGGTGGGGGGAAGGGATATTCCCTGGGGGTGCCTTGCTGTCATTACAAGGATTAGTAAAGCAGCAAGGATGTGACTGATGCTGCAGGACCTGGACCTGGGTCTCTGAAAATATTCGTAGAGAAAATATACATATTTTTGCTTTCCTACAGATGTAAAGAGGTAGAATCTCTTCCCATGGAATTTTTTTTTTTCTTATTTCACATTTTTCATCCCAAAATGCAGGAGACCCTTTTTCAAGCACGAGGATTTCTTCAAGGTGGATGTTTGCAAACTGCTCTGCTGAGGCGCTGTAAACTTGGCACGTAAAATCCCCTCGTGGTAGCTCAGAGGGCTGGTCAAACCTTGGGGCACACGGGGGGCCAGGGAGGAGGGCTGGGTGCTACCTTTTGAGAGGCGTCTTGAGGTTTGCTGTCTCCTTCACTTGTGTTTTTCCTTCCTGCTTTGCCAAGGCATTTCCATATGGGTGCAAGAGCTTTGACAGAGAAATGCTGGCACCAAGCTGATTTGGAGAAGTTGGCTGCTGTGTCGATCTGGGCAATGGTGGGTAGTGTGGGCAAGGTAGCCATACAAAAGGAGTTGATGGGGTGGCCTTTATGGCACTGGCAGAAAGTGTCCAGTACTTTTTCTCCAACGGAAGCAACAGAGAAGCCAGAATATGATATTGTTCAAAAGTGCAATGAGTTTCAGCCAGTCTCAGATTCTCTGGAGTCCCTGGGACTCTCTGAGTGCTGTGAGATGCCTAACTGGTGCTTGCTACCAAGAAAGTTTGGCAAGCAGCAGTTCTTCGGCAGCTGAGGGACATTTCCTTTGTAACCTTGGCTTATGAACTGCAGATGCAGAGCTACGTAACAGGATGGCCCAGGGCATTTAGCGGCACCAGCACAAACTTCCCAGTCACATAAAGCGGGTCATGCAAAATCTGCCTGACTGCTGGGAAAACATCTGGCCAGGTTTTCCCGAGATGTGTGGCTTGCTGCTGCCATATGGCTGCTGTGAAGCAATAGTTTGGCTAAGAGCTTTGCTAATGCTCAAAAATACTTTCTGGGACCCTGCTTCTGTAGCGAGCCTGCGGCTAGCAGCTCAGAGCAGGAAGCAGTAACCACAAGTTATATATACAGCTCCCGACAGAGCTGCTGCTGCTTTTGATGTGACAAAATAAAAGTGGTATTTTGCAAAGAAATCCTACGAGTCACCTTCTTCCGGTGGCTGATACAGAGAGGGCAGAGCCTGGCTCCAGGGCAGTCTCCTGAACCAAACTGACAGGGAGCTGGGATGGGGGAAGCAGGGGAGGACCTGCCATTACCTCCCAAGCCGCACGACGCTGGAGGCCGCCGGGTGCCTGAGCCGTGGGGAGCAGCACACGTGTCTGGCACGTCACAGTGGCAAAGCCGCCCGAGGTGCCAAGGGCTAATGCTCTGCCCACCTGTTTAGAGATCTGTTTTAGATGGCACCAGATCAAACGTGCAGCACAGCACAACATGTGGGGTCTGGGCCTCTTCCCCAGCTGAAATCCTCTTTAAAACCGTCTTGGAGATGGTAATTGTTACCTTGAAGTCACTGAGGGTGGCTGTTTCATAGACAGGGAAGGGCTCTCAAGCAGGGTAGCTCTGCTGAGCTGAGTCCCCCGCTCGCCACTTGCTGTGGCCCCTGTGTTGCCCTGGCTAGCCTGGCTCCCATGTCCCTCTCACCCATGGAAGATGCAGCCTGACCCCAAAGGCCACTCCGTCCCTGCCCAAGCCCTGACTCCATGTGTCCATCCTCCTCCTCTTCTCTCCCCTCAAGCCCTCCAGTGCGTCCTGTGCCCGCGGCCCTTGCTGGAGCCCCGGGATCCTGATCCTGTTGGCTCACACAGAGGCGCTGGAGCAGGTATGCAGCAGGAAAGGGAGCTGAGCAGCCCACGTGCTGGGGTTGTGGGCACTGGGGACAGCACTGGTGTATCCTCAGTAGTGATTTCCGTGACTTCCAGCAGCACTAGCGGTATGTACATCTCCTATAATGTCAGGGAGCATCTGCTCACAATGCAGGCAGGGCTGGGAGCATCTCAGCTATGGCCATTGATCCCTCCATCCCCCAAAGGAGCTCCTCACCTCCTCCTGAAACTAGCCGCCTCCACATCTCACCCTGACCCTTAAGCTGCCTGCGCCCCAACCCTGCCAGCCTCCCTGTAGGGAACCAGGCTAGGCTTGGCAGGAGGACCAAGGAGGATGTGCAGCTGCAGCCTCCTCTCCTGCTCACCGCAGGGAGGCAAAGGACTGCCTTGCCTTTCCCGTGCTGTTTTGCAGAGCGGGGCTGACTACGGCTTCCTCGTGAGACAGAACACAAAGCTCCTGAGCGCACTGGAGGACCTGCAGCACCGCTGCACCAGCCTCACCGAGGAGAACAGCCTGCTGGTGAGCGGAGGATGTGGCCCCTTGGCCAGACACTGAGCTGGGTCTGGGCATGCGTGTACAGGGTTTGGATTGCTCTGTGGGGAGGGAGCACTGGCCCTACGTGAGCTTGTGCTCGGCTCAGAGAGGTGCCAAGACATGGGACCTGGGGACGGTCAGGAGGGAAGGGGAGCCTGAGTGCTTTGGGGCCCTTGGGCGCCTTTGATGCCTTCACACTGCACTGCACAGCCATTGGCCTGAATTGGCCCCCTTCCTCATCATGCCAAGCAAAGACAGGACCCTTTGCCACCCTTCCTGCCATCTTTGTCCGACACTACTTGCCTGCTGGAAACCGTGAGAGACTTTTCCGCAGTTGCCTGTGAAAGCTGGCAGAAAGCAAGCCAAAGGCGAGCCGATGGCGGGGAGAGGGAAGTTGCTCTTGTTTCCTCTTTAAGTGGAAAAGCAGAAACACTGATTCACTTGCTGCCTCGGCTTTGGGTGAGCAGTGCAGCACCGCCCCCTGCTCTCACGGGAGCACGGCACCCAGCCACTCCATAGGGCACCCAAGGCAAGGCCAGGTGGCCCAGCACTCACTGCCCATTTCATCCTGCTCCCACATCCTCAAGTGCTCTTGGGCTGCTCCAGGTTCATGACGGCCGATTGGGAACCTGGGGAAATAAGGAGAGGAGGTGTTTCCCTTCTTGTTTCCTCACTGAAGCCCAAGAGGCATCAGACCTTTGGAAGCCCTTCCACATGGGGATGCCCCCACCCTGGCCATGCATCTAGGACCAAGTCATCCATGGTGTTGGCTGGGCTGTGTTGGTCTGACCCCATGAGCTTTGGTGGGGGGGCACAGGTATTCAGTTCCCTATACAGGACCCTGACTTGCAGCAAGACCCTTGCTCACATCAGCCTCAAGCTCGGGGTTTGCCAGCTCAGGCTCAGCTCAGGAGAGTGGAAATATGCTGTGGAGGCTCAGCCCCTGGGCCAGCCGGAGCCCAATGCTGCAGTCGGGCTGGGGTCACCCTAGCTCAGCCAGAGCAATGCAGGGTCCCAAAAGTTCAGCTCCTTTCGCTGCTGCCATCTGGCCGCCATCCTGCTACCATCCAGTGCTTGACATGCTCCAGTCTTCAGGCCTTGGATGGAAGGACCAGCTCTGAGGAACAGATAGACTCAGGGCTCTCTGTGTGGTATGACAGACGCTGGTCCTGAAACACCGGTAGTGGGATCTGCTCCAGGCAGAGCCACCTCAATCCTGCTGAGAAATGTGGCTTACCAGCAACCCTGCTGCTGAATGGCTTTGCACAGTGCAAGGGCAAGGACCTCACTTGTGCTGGCATTGCCCACGTTGCGCTCCCTCTACACACCTTTGGAAGCAGGTTAGCCCCTTCAGCTGCACCACCTTCCAAGGGAATTTTTTTTTCTCATTTCCCAACATAAACCTCATAGTACTTTCATATCTCCTGTGCTGTTACTGAGGTTTAAAAATGATCAGAAGAATGTGGGAAAGAATTTCCCTTCAAAATGCCCTTGAAAATTTGGTCATTTTATTTGCTCCATTCAACATTTATGTCATCAAATTCAAAACATGTTTTAGATAATTTCCTTACTCTAAAAGAATAAATCCAGTATGACCTGAACTCTGGGGCATTTACCCTTCACTAGTCATCTGAATTTTAGCAAAGCATCTATCATATCAGCTCTCATCGAATCGTACTCTTAAAAATCAGCCTTGGCCTTATGACTGAAAAGAAGCAAACAGAGCAGTGAAAACAGCAAGTGTCAGTCGAGGGATCTCACAGGGGCAGGAAAGAAAATAACTGGAAGGATCAATTGACCTGACATTTTTGCTGATGTGAAAAGACAGCCCAACAAATCTGGATGTGACTTTGAGAGCAAGCCATTGGCAAGCCGCAGCTTATCAAAATGGACAAATACAAGGGGATTAAGAGCACACAGCATAAATAGAAAGAGAAGCAAATTTGGTTTGCAAATATGAAAAAGTCCTTTGCTGCTTTTTCCCCATTCCCCTCCAACTCTTGTCTCAATGTCAAGAGGGAAAAGACAATAGCAAAGCTCACAGTATACCATGGCAGTGCAGCACAGATCTGGGCAATGTGTTGAGCATCAGAACACCAGGAAAATAAACTAGAAAGACTGAAAGAGAAAGCCCCAAGGTTCAATGGACACAGCCAACCCAGAGACACACACGGCCTGCCCTCCTGGCCAAGTCAGCCCAGCTGGCAAAGTCAGAGCCTGCCAAAAGCGGAGAGGACTACATGCTGCAGAAGGAGAGCGATCATATATGACAAGCTAGATCAGGGATGAGGGGCATCTTTAGGAGACTACATAGTCACATTAACAATAAGATGTATCAGGAAAAACAGAGGTTTCAGCGACTGAAGAGGAGATGAGAGAAGGTAGGGGTTTAATGGTTGGGTCAGTTATGTAAGAACAGGCAAAGTCCAATATGGAAGGACTGGGAAAAGCCCTCCACCGGTCCTGTGGACACAGAGTGGGTCTTGGAGGTGTGGGGACCTTGCTTATCTCTAACACCCCCCGTGCTTCACTAGCGCAAGGGTTTGAGGGCAGAGTGAGAAGCGGCTTCATCTTGAACCTTTTCATCTGTTTTCTAGCGCAGGAGCTGCTTCCCTGAAACTGAGGAGAAGGTTAAGCACCTAAAGAGGAAGAACGCAGAGCTGGCCGTGATCGCCAAACGCCTGGAGGAGAGAGCCCGGAAACTCCAGGAGGCAAACCTCAAAGTCGTAAGTGTTTCACCCTTTGTGGCACGGGGGCTTGCCGCTGCTCAACTGATGCTGTGGCACTGAAAGCTGACTTCTCAGTTGCTACTATACCTGGGAGCTCCCTCGCCTTATGTCCCTTGCCTTTGGGACGTAAACCCCCTTCCAGAAGTGGAAAGGCTAGAGTCGCTGAGATTGTGAGAAGGAACATATTCACCAGTACATCCTATTGTCCTGTGATCCCGTTGCTGCAGCTACAGCAGCCCTGCAGCTATCAATCAGGCTTGTTTTTATGCAGAATTGTTCTACTGAGCTAGAAAGGCCTTTTCTTTCCCCTTTCCTTAAATCAGGTAAGGCCACACAACAAAAATACTTTGTATATCAGCAGCAATAAAAGGATCATAAAACCCAACAAGCCTATCAGGAAGAGAAATTACTAGCTGCTTCCTCTCATGCTTGGAGAGCTCGTTTTGAGCAATTTCCTCCTGCCTGGTTTCTTGCTGTAAATGTGCCCACCTACCCTAAGGTATTAATTAAGGTAATTAGCTTTGCTCTCCCTGGGCTGGTCATGAAAATAATTCATCTGACTTCAGCAAAATGAAACAGGAAGTATTTGTATAAGAAAAAGAGTGCAGTAAAGCAAAACAGGAAGGGGTGCAATACTTTCCTATGCCCCATGCATACCTCGCTTGCATTTGTGCGCCAGCCACATGTTATTTCTTTCTCCAACCAAACAGCAGCTTGTTATGAACTCTGTAGCTTTTGACACAGCACAGGAGCCCTGGGAGAGGGCTGTCAGATGTGGGATCTTGCAAATAAGAATTTGAACGAGCTTCCTAAAGGTGGCTTGTAGCACGGAAACGGAAAACCTTTTTTTCTGTTGGAGGAAGACCAGGGATAGTGGTGGGAAATGCTAACCCTTTAGGATTAGGAAGGAGGAAGTGAAAACTTTGCCAAAGAGAAGGTGAGAGGAATTTTCCTGGCATTGCCTCGTCTCTCTACCCCTGGGCACTGAGCTGCCCATCTGTCACTGGGTTTTGGTACTTGCAGGAGAGCAGTTGCTGCCAGATGGATTTGTCAGATACCATGTTAAGAGAAATCATTTGATATACATCCAGTAGCAGTGAAGCCCCTCCAACAACTGCACAAATACTGGGGTTTTTTTTGTTGTTGTTTTTTGTTTTTTTTCCCTTGAACAAAACCTTGGGGGTGGTTGCTGTTTAATAGCTGTGTGAGCACTGGGAGAATTGACCCCCCCTGGGTTACTCACCTCAGAGAAACCCATGGGCTGGCCCACATCTCCTCGCAGCAGAAAATGCCTTAGTGGTGGAGGCTCATAGAGGGGTGGGCTGGATGCAGGGGAAGGCAGCTGCATGTTCGGTGAAGGGATCCTGAGGAGCTGGGGTTAGTTTGGCAGCAGCTGGTTTCAGTGCCTGGTACCCGTGTCCTTCAGAGCCAGGGCCCTGTGCATAGCTTCTGCACATGGACAAGGTGCTCGGGAAGACCTGGGGAGGAAGAGTTTGCAGAAAGGATGCCCTTTTCCTTATCAGGGAAGGGAGAGAGCTTCCTCCTCACCAAATAATCAGACTTTGTGCAGAGAAAAATAGCTGCATGGGGAGAGGGAGAGTTTGATAAACCTGGGGACAAGATGTGGTCCTGCTGTGCAGCTGTACAGACGGCTGAGATGAGTAGAGAAGAGCATTTGCTTGCTGCCTGCTTGCCTGGCTCCACATTGCTGGTACTCAGTGGGACGGTTTGCCCTAGGAACAACCACTTGTGCTGATCCTTGGGGAGACTGTGGCCAGATGTGAGATCAGATGTTCCCCAGGATAGCCTCAGCTACAGCCCAGGGCCTCTGTCCAGAGGCTGCTGCCCAGCCCCATCTCCTCCTCCCCTCGCAGCACTCCTGAGCTCTCCACCCTTGGTCTCCCCTCCCTTGCCGAGAGCATGTGAAGTTGAACTGCTCCTTCTGCTGAAGATCTCCTAGTCTTCCCCATAGTGTGCTGGTGCCTGCCCAGGCACTGGGCTCTCTCTTGCCTCCCCCTTTGATGGTATCTTCCACCCACCAGTGCCTACCTAGCACCCTCTAAAAATTTCCATGTCTCTTCTTGTTTTGGCCACCTCCAACCTTGTTCCCATGCTGGTCTCTCCAGCTGTTGTCCCCTTCTCTTTGCTGTCTTCTCCAGTCCTTCTGCTCTCATCCTGCTTCCCACCCACTTTTGCTCTTCCTGCAGTGTCCCATGCTGACGGGACCCCATGACTCCATCTGCTGAGCACCTTCCCTTTCCCATCTGTTTTCTGATCCACTTCTCTAAGCAGCCCTTCCTCCTTCCTCCCACTTTTCTATATGTATGTTGTGCTCCTCTGTCTCCTTGTCTGCCCTTTGTGGCTAGGCTGCAGTTCTGGATGGTGGTCTCTGCCTGGTCACTAATGAGGTGATGGTTAATAAAACATCAACATATGTGTTTTTCTCCCTCGCTGCTCTCTCTCTGCTGTAGGTAACTGCTCCAGTGCCTCTGAAGGGTTCCAATCTTGAGCTGTGTAAAAAAGCATTTGCTCGCCAGCGTGCCAAGGACCTGACAGAGCAAGCCAGTGCTCTCCTGGCGAAAGACAAACAGATTGAAGCTCTGCAGCAGGAGTGTCGGGAGCTGCAGGCTAAACTCATTGCAGGAAAGGTGAGAAACTTTCTCAGACATCACTCACTAGCTAGGGACAAGGCTGGGAATCAGGCTCCAGAAAGTGGGATGAAGCTAATCAGTCCCAAGGAGAGACTGAAAGCAGAGTGTGAGTTGGGACAGGGGAAGCTGGGGGAGCGTGTGGTGGAGACAGTGCCTTAATCCCTCCAGAATAGCATGTGGGAGGATACCCCAGCTCCCACCCTGCAGATTCATAGGTCCAAGCTGCCATTTTCAGCAGCAACTAAAATTCTTCCTGCGGAAACCACTGAGAAGCCATGGGTTGACCTTTCATAGTGCTGGGCTTCACATAAGATGTAGAAGCAGGGCCTTCCTTATAAGTTTTTCTTTAAAAGTTAAATCAGCTGAGCACCTTTACAAGAACCAGTCTAAATCCCGTGTTTTGAGCTGCAGCTTAGTGAGTGCTCTCAGCCTTTGCAAGGCTGACAATAACTACATGCATAAAGTTTTGCTACTATTAACTTATCATAAGATAAGGATGGGTGTTCATGAAAACATCTGCAATGCTGATGTCTACATCTGGGCTTGTGACCCTACGTTCCCTTCATTACCAGCACCAGCACAGATCTTGCCATGTAAATAGTGGGATAAAAGGGGTAATTCATCTCATCCTGAGAAAGAGGTCTAAAATTGGTCAGACATGTTACTCTCTCAAAGCACTTTTTTTCTCTGCAGTGTCTTGAAAGGGAGCCTTTGCAAACATCTGAAGTTAGGTGAAATGATTCCCATTCAAGCGACTAAAACAACCTGTCCTGGGCACGTCAGATATGTCTTTGTTCATGAGCTGGACATTTTAAGGTTAGGTTAGCTAAGAAACTCATGACAAGCTCAGAAGCTCTAGGACTCACACTGGATTCCTCCTTTTCCACTAATACAGATGTGGTCACGTGCAACACTATGTTCCTGTTCCCAGCTGGGCTGAACGCATACTTATATTTCTACTTACCACACTTACATGAATATTTAGGTATCAAACTTCCTTGCTGAAAGTGGCTTTATTTCTGTGGCTGAACTTACCATGTGTTCATTTTAACTATGGGTTTGAAGGTAGATTCTCCCTCCTTCCCTAATGTAGATCTAGTCAGTACAAGAGTAATTGGGTGTTGTTCTCTGTTTGTACAGAGGGGCCCTGGGGATCCCTTCTGGCATTAAGACATAGGAGAAAGTTATCCAGGTCTGCATGTGCTTTATAGTGTCATTAGGAAGAAATTTCTTTCCCGTTCCCTTGATTGCTCACCACAGACCCCACAGAAGGGGAACTAGACCCCTTCCAAAATGGTCTGATCTTCATACCAGAGCATGCTGGGCAACCTGAATCTGCCAGGGATAGGACGGTCACAAATTGTAGAGAAATGTGACGAAGGCAGGTGAGCAAGATTTGTTACCATCCGAAGAAATACACATGGTACAGTCTTCAGGGTTGATGAACTCAGCTGCTGCCTTGCTAGGGCAGGGGTGACCCCCTCTAGCTGAGAGGGTGGGGCATATCATCGATTTGTATAACCTGCCAAGGCACCAATAACAGGGGCATTTATACATGAGCAGGGAATCTGCAAAGAATGTTAGAGAAGAAAACATTCTAGCTGTTCTTGTTTTTCTCATTTCTCTATAAAGCAAGGTGTTCATAAAATTTTAATTTTCAGCTAGTTAAAATTCAAAACTCATTTAATCTGTCTGCAACATGCTAAATACATTATGTCAGTAAAGCGGCTTCTATGCAAAGATATTATGCACATGTTCAGATTTTGTAACCAAATCACTTTTAATCTAGTATAGTTAAATCAGCACAAATATTTTAATGGTTATGAAATGGACCTATCGAGCCCCTTTCCAGTGGCAGGACACCCTGCACATCCGACTGCAAAATTATTAGCCTTGTTTTGCAAAGTCAGGGCTCTGAGGACAGGATAAAATGATTTCCTGAGACTCATGCTCCAGTGACGGGCTTCCAACCAAGCCCCAGCTACAGCTAAAACCAGGCTGCAATTTCTTGCCAAGAATTAGTTCTAACACCTTTTGTGGCTGATGGGACAGGAGCTAATGAAGACACTGTTGGGGTGCAACCTAGAAGAGGGCTGAATATGGCCTGGAGCTTGCCTGTGAAAAAGATGTACCTGCAGCCCTTTTGGTGGCTGCCCTCCACATCACAGAAGTCATGGAGGCAGCAGAGGCCAGACATGGCACTGGACAGGCAGCCTGTGTTACAGCTTCTCCAGCTGGCAGTGCTCAGAAGGGGGACAATGCAGGGAACAGCAAGGCAGCTGCAAAGGACATGTATAATAGGAACTGTGAGGAGAAAACGAAGCTTTTTTCTGTTCCCTTGTTCCCCCTGGAACAAGCCTGCTTTGGAGGCTGCCTGTTGGGAATAGCTGCCCTTTTTTGGTGGGGGAAGGGAGATTTCGTACAGAGCCACAGTCAGTTTTTATAAAGAACTATTACCCTGATACCCCAGACATGGGTCTGGCACAGAAGAGAGCTCAGCTCTAAGTTCTTGAGTCTTTAACCAGTTCCCATTAATGGTACCTCAGTTTCCCCCGTGTAGCATAAGAATATGTTCTTCTGCGCTCATTCTATCATATTTATAAAGCACATACTATTTTTAGGGCAAATCAGAAGTGAACAGGGAAGCAGATTAAATTTGTCCTGCATACCAATTATGTGTTGAACTCACTGGCTTATGAGCTTTCCAGGGGAATGAGCAATGTCTCCTCCAGCAGCATATTTGTAAAGACAGGTTTTCATAACCAGCTTTTACGGACATGTAGGTACGTGTTTTTTTTTCAGCCTCCTAAAGCAGGAAAACCTTTGCAGAATTAAAAAAAAACTGGTGACAGGCCTCACTATTTTTGTGAGAGTAAAATTACACTGGTTTCTTTCAAAAGCTACTGGCTTTTGAGTCCAGAGCAGACAGTAATAATGAATTGTACAAAAGATGGGAGTCTACGCATACTCCCTTCTTTGAAGAAGTTAGAAATCAAGAATAAACTAAAATAAAATAAAATCCTGAGTCAGAACTGAACAAGTCTCAAGAGAGTCTTCATTCTTTCTAGCATCTAAAATCCTAACCACTGTGGATACATAGGGCTCCAGAGAATGCCAGCATCCCTACCAAGGAAGTTAAGCAGCTAAGACTCTTGTTTTGCCAGGAAATGCGATAATATTATCCTGACACGCTCCCTGCTGGCAGGTACCATAGGCACACTTAGAAAAGCCCTGTTTAGTATGCATTTGCTCTGAGACAGTTGCAGAAGCATTATAGGCTAGCTTTTAGCTGTGGGAGCAATCATCATATAGTCACATAAGGGATGCACAGTGACTGTTTTTGAGGCCTTGGAGACCCAAGAAACAAAAAGTCTTTCTGGGCCACGTTACAACTGGGCCTGTTTTTTGCTACCGTCTCTTCAATTACGCTTTTGGAGTCTGTGTGTTAAGTCACTACCCCCGATCTGTTCTATCTTTCAGAGGTCGGGAACGCTGTAACGTTGTGTTTGCTTTTGCTGTAGGATGACCCTCGTTGCCTGAACGTCATCGAGTTTGATCGCCTGTTGCGGGAATCTCAGAGAGAAGTATTACGGCTACAGCGACAGATTGCCCAAAAGAATTTCAAGGAGTGTCTACACTCCTCTAAAATTAGTTCAGGAGGCTCTTTGCCAAGTGCTGCCACGCGCGTGGGACCATCCATACCGATGCTAAATACCTGCATAAAAGATTCACCTTTATCAAAGGAGGCCCACTCGGGAGACCCGGCACTAGGAGTGGAAGCGCACAGGAAGGTGAGACAAGTGGGTCAGCGCTCAAAAAACGTTGCCGTTTAATTAGTCAATTAATTACTGTTCTTAGGAAACTTCTTGCAGTGTGTGAGCGCTGCAGTTCCCAACCGCTGTGAGCAGGTGCTGTGCTGGTTTTTAAAATGACCTATTAAAAATGTCAGGGATCATCTAGCGCGGGGTGACACAGCAGCTCCTGGCTGCCCAGCACGCCCGTGGTGACGGGGAGCCGCACTGGCAGGGCAGGACGCAGCGGCGTGCAGCAGGCCCCTAGTCCTGCTGGGCGTCTGCAGGACAGCTCTCCCGTGTCGCATTTGCGAGCCTAGGAAACTAGGCAGCGCCTCTTTCCGCCTCTCCGGTCTCAACCCTTGTGAAAGTCTGGCCGCTCGCTCCTGCGCTCGCCCGGGGACGGCAGCGAGGCTCTCTGGTCCGTAATTCACTGCCGCCCGGCCGCCTTTCAGAC